AGAAATCCGTCAGTCTAGAATGGAAAGAAAGACGGTAGATCAAAAACAGACAGATTTTATCTTTTTTTTTTGCGCCAAGCAGGATTTTTGAAGCATAAAAAAACGAGAAATAGAGAAAAGAAAAAATTACGTCAAAAAAAGTGTATGTAGATAGATGACAGTAGTCGTCTATCAATTGAAATATAGACAATTTCTATTCGTTGTTTTTAATTTTCTATAATATATCATCATCATCAATTAATTTTTCAATGCATCACGTTTTGTTAAAGATTACAAAACATATTTCAACCAAAGGATTTACAGTTAATATTTATACAAATCTATATTCATAAGAATAAACGATTAGGAATGAATCAATAGATCCGAAAGTTATTTGTTCTATATCGAGATTAAAACCAGATTCGAATGAATAGATTTGATTTAATTTTTTAGATAATGTAATATTTTTACTTTGTTATTTCTTTTTATAAACCTACATATCTAAGATGAATAATGACAAACCGGATTTATATCATGAAAAACAACGATTACAATTATGTGCATTACATTCATTGAATAGTCTTTTTCAAAAACCTCTTTTTAATAAACAAAAACTTGATTCAATTGTACATGAATATGATAAATCATGGTGTTGGAATGAGTATTCAACATTATTTACAGGTAATTATGATTTAACAATCATACTTGATGCATTGAAACAACAAGGTTATACATTACGTGCTATTGATGTTAATGAATCATTGGATATATTTCATTTTAAAGATTGTTTGGGTTTACTATTAAATATACCTCTTGAACGACCATTTTTTGATCGTTTACCATTAGTACGTTCATGGACAAAACCTGGTCGTCATTGGTTTTCAATAAAAAGTATCAATGGAGAAAATTATTATAATTTAGATTCAAAATTATCACGACCAAAATTAATTGGTAATGAAACTGATTTAAAACAATATTTAAATACATTGAATCGTACGGAAACTTATATGTACATTGTGATTGAAGAAACTATGGTAGAAAAATTTGAACAAAAATAAAGTGAAAATAAAACGTTATCATTGTTTTTTGTTTTGTTTTGTATTTATTTATCAAATTGAACTGCGATATGAAGTTGTGTTTATTCTCATTAATCGATAAAGTAACTTTAAGCAAAAATATATAAACAAGAAAAGCAATAAACATATTCTAAAACCTCGAACTCTATTAAGATATCCACACTCATTCTATATGTTTAATTTTATTTTTGTTTGGAAGAACATATTAGAATACAATGCTTAGCAGATTGTTTTGTTTTTAAACTTCTTTTTTTTTCAAACGTCATGAAACGTCAACTGACTGTATAGAACTGCTTTGATCAAAATTCATGGCTAACTTTTTCGTTGTTTTCTCTTTAATATTAAAGAACATGCGATTTATAGCATATATATATCATCAACTTGTCATATAAAATCATCCAGATATACTCATTTTTTTATTCTTCTTCTGTTATTTTAGCAGATGCTTTTATCTGCATGTTCAAAAACAAAAAAAACAAAGAAATGTTTATTTGAGTTTCTTTTTTGGTCGTAAATTACTGGTATGACCACATTTACGTTTACGACAATTGACAGCACGTGGATGGAGTCGTGCATAGCATCTAAAATAATCATATTAATTCAAAAAAACAAAAACGTTTTTTCTTCTTACTTGCGACAAATAACTTTGTCACAGTTATATTTTTGAGCAAGTAAACGAAGTGTTGGTTCAATTGTACCACCTCGAAGACCTTTAAAATAATAAATATGTTTATATTCATTTCATTAAATCATATTTTAACTTACGTAAAACCAAATGAAGTGTACTTTCCTTTTGAATATTATAATCCGAAAGTGTACGACCATCTTAAACGAAAATGAGTTATTTTAAAGATGATTATTATTAGTTTTTATATTACCTTCAAGTTGTTTGCCGGCAAAAATTAAACGTTGTTGATCTGGTGGAATACCTTCTTTATCTTGAATTTTAGCTTTAACATTTTCAATCGTGTCCGATGGTTCGACCTAATAAAAATAATATATATATTTATCATAGAAAAACTATAATAAACTTACTTCAAGGGTGATAGTCTTGCCTGTAAGAGTCTGAAAGAAAGTATAAAAGACTTATATTTTATTAATTTATTTCGTAAATTTTTACCTTAACGAAGATCTGCATGATAGATGTTAAGAAATATCTATAAAACAAAAAAGTGAGATGAAGTAAGTTTTTTCGGCAAATGATCAAGATTCTTAAACACCACCATATTGAATTGTCTACAGATCTAAAATCTGATTGGTTGAAAAGAAAAAAAGTTTTTTAAATAATTCAAACTTTTTTTCTTAATATTCAAAATGAATAAAAATAAAGATTAATTATTTTTAGATGCCAATTTTTTATGAGCGATAGTAGCGCCTGATAATGAATGGTAAACTATCATATATAATGTGGATTTACGGGTATAATGAGTTATAAGAATAAGAATAAATAAAATTATGTCAAAAAAAGATTCTGTTTCTTTCTTATTGATTTAAGTATTTGTATAAAAAATCAATTCATTTTTATTGAATAATGCACTTGTTGTGCTACTTGTAAAAAGATTTTTTTCGTTGTTTGTAATATAATATGCACTCTAGTAGATGTTTTTTTCGATGAAAGTAAAGCTGTACTAGTCTAGTTCATATGGAATTAATAATAGAAGATTATTAGAATTTTAGATAAGAACACGACATAGACAGATAAATCTCTTGTTTCATGTTTCAATATTTTATAAAGGATAATGCGCTACATGTAAAAGGAAATAGTTTGTTTCGCATAGATTAATGAAGGGCGTGGATGACATAATTCAATAGTCGTCATTATAATACAAAAGAAGAGCAAATCTATTTTTGTCCTTATTCATATATGTCTAGTTTGAAATCAAGTTAAAATGTGACTTTTGTTTTTATTCAAAAGATCAGTCATGTGGAATATTCTTTTCTCCTTTTTAATCATCGGTAACCATAATTCTCTATTTCCGTTCTCGTGCATTTGTTTACGTATTTATGTTTACTATATGGGAACAATGTAAGAAGAATAAGTCATTATATTAAACGAGTATATTATTTTCATGAAAAAACGTTCGAACTTTTTTTGCGCTAAAGTACATAATGAAGAGAATACTAAATCATATATATATATATCATGAATAACAATCGATTAAATTGCCCTTGATGTCGATTGCATGCATATAAATATAGTACCTGATCCTTTTCACCTATCCATTCGTTTGTTTTTTTCTTTTGTATGTGTTTGTAATAATAAAAACGACAATGGTAAATACAATTTCTTGTTTACATTTTTAAGGACAAAATAAATTTAATTTAGATTGAAGATCAAAGTGATTTGATAGATTACGAAATGAAACGTAATGATAATACACGAGAATCATTTTCGACTGATGCTGAGATACGTGTATGATATATTATTTTTCTAATAGATAAGATTTTTTGATTTATTTTTGAAATTTATTTAGAAACGAAATATGAAAACAAAACGTGAACCAGGTCATCGGTAAAGATAATTTCAAAGAAGAAAAAAAATTTTTATTCGGTATTTTGTTTTCATAATTTAGTATATTTGTTACTCGAAGTTTACAATTAGATCGAATTAAATTTTATGGTTTTGATATGGATTATACATTAGCATTGTATAAATCACCTGAATTTGAAGAATTAACATTTCAACTTGTTATCGATTCAGTTGTTGAACTTGGTTATCCAGAAGAAATTCGGCAATTTGTTTATGATCGAACATTTCCACTACGGTAAATATTTGCTATTGTTCTAAGTTTATTTATTTTTTCTAATTATTAGTGGTCTTTGGTATGATAAATTATATGGAAATTTACTTAAAGTTGATGCATATGGTAATATTCTTACTGTTGTTCATGGTTTTAAATTTCTTTCTGGGTAAAGATTTTTTTTGTTATTGAAGAAATCTTATTTATTCACTTTTTTTCTGTTATGTAGACATGAAGTTCGTGAACTTTATCCAAATAAATATATCGTAGGTGATGATCGTATTTATGTTTATTATACACTTTTTAATCTACCAGGTAATATTGAGTAGGACATAAATTGAATGAAAATAATTATTTCTATTTAGAAATTTATCTTATTGCTTGTTTGATTGATTATTTTTCAACGATGGCTACTTATGTTCAGTATGTTCAAGAATAAATTAGTAAGGAAGAATTATTTGATTGATTTTCTTTTTTTTAGAGGTCGAACAGCGGTACAATTTGGAGGAAATATTCTTTCATTTCGTGCTATTTTCAATGATGTTCGAAATTCAGTTGAACGTGTTCATAACAAAGTATGAATTCTTAATTTATTAAAACTCTAATCATATTCCTATATTTCTCAAGGGTCAACTTAAAGAAATGGTTTGTAAAGATATTCAAAAATATATTCATAAGGATGAACGATTACCTGTATTATTAGATCGGTAAATTATAAATAATTTAATGAGAAAAATAAACCTCTTTTTTTGTAGTATTCGTTCTCATAATGCAAAAACATTTTTATTAACAAATAGTGAATATTGGTATACAGATAAATTAATGACCTATTTATTAAATAGTGAACATAATAACGCCAAGCGTGATTGGAAATCATATTTTGATTTTATTCTTGTTGATGCACAAAAACCACTTTTTTTTGCTGAAGGTACAACATTAAGAATAATTAATCCAAGTACAGGAAGTATGAAATTGGGTACATATTCTGGTGAATTACAACAAAATGAAGTTTATAGTGGAGGTTCATGTGAAGTTGTTTCGAAATTAATTGGTTCAATGGGTAAAGATGTTTTATATGTGGGTGATCATATATTTGGTGATATAATTAAATCGAAAAAACAGAAAGCATGGAGAACAATGCTTGTTGTACCTGAACTTAATCATGAATTAAAAGTTTTTCATGATAAAAGAGATTTATTTAATACATTAGAATCATTAGATACATCAATTAGTGAATTACTTCGTTCGTTTGATATGACTGCAAATCGTGGACCAGATGCAGTCAATAAAATTAAACAAAAAATACAGGTAAAAAGAATAAAAAAGTGTTTTTTCGTTATCATCTTTTAATTATTTTTAGCAATGTACTCATGAATTGGATATGAATTTTGGACTTTTAGGTTCTCTTTTTCGAACAGGTAAATTATACATTCATCAAAATTGTTTATATTTTGTTTAATATAAAGGTTCTCGTCAAACTCATTTTGCTTCACAAGTATCAAGATTTGCTGATATATATGCTTCAACAGTTGTCAATCTTGTCTATTATCCATTCTTTTATTTTTTTCGTGCTGTTCCACAATTAGTAAGTAATCTGATAAGTAACCATATTCTGTTTTGATTTTATTTTTTGATTTCAGATGCCTCATGAATCAACTGTTGATCCTGAAGAACCAATGCATTTTAAATCATGGGGTGGTGATACACCTCAATCGGAAACATCGGATCGTCGTCGTTCAACAATGGATCAAGGAGCGAGTGGTGTATCACGTTTTAATCATTCATTATCGATGCAAATTTCACCTGATTTACCATTACATGTAACACATGATCATGATGCTGATGGTGATCCAGATGATGAGAAAGCAGCTGATCTAGATCAAGATTTAGAATTTGATCTTCGCTCGAAAATAACATATACGCCACCAACAAAAAAAGAATAATTGATCAAAAAAAATATATAAACAACGATATTATGATCTGAATATTTTTGTCTCCCTGCATTTTATTATTTTTTATGAAATATTTAGAATTTTGTTGTTTTTTGTTTATTAACTACAAAGAAAATCTAATCTCAAAGTGCGTCATTCATATCTGATAAGATACATGTCATTTGCGTAATAAAAATCTTAATTATTCATGTAGTCATCGATAAAAACTAACATAGTATATTTTAATTGATTGATAATTTTAAATATTAATTTTTGGAATATTGCTAAAGCATATATCTAATGGATTTCATATGAATCACATCGATTTCTCAAGAGATATTTATTGAAACAAAAAACTGAAAAAGAAAATACCAATAAGAAAAAATAAGCTGGAATATGTTATAATATTTAAAAAGAGTATTAAGATATAGGTGGATGAGAATCTTGAGGATAGGTGTGAGTGTGATTGCGAGTAAAGATAATTTATGATTCACACACATCCTCACCCACCACACCCACACCCTTAAGATGGTAGAAATTGGTGAATGCTTCGACAAAAGGAAGAAAAAGAAGGAAAAAGGGGAGCATTCATGTACCAGACACATCCTCGATATGACAGAGCAGAGGATGTGTGAGGGGGTCTGGGTGTGAAAGGCTACAACTATGTACACCCCCACCCTCACACACGCCCACTCTCATAAGTCAAAAGAACATCCGATAAACATATCATTTCATCAGTGTAGGATCTTAAATATATTTTCGTTTCATGCTCCTATAATATGACGTTCATTTTCAAAATCTGAAAAAAAGTAAAACATAGAACGAAAAATGTTTCATCAGAATTAACAGTCTTGTATGACTTTTGTATCACCTTTCATTCCCAGTTGCCATTAGGACCTTCACGACCATGTTCGGCAGAAAGACAATCATCAACACTAAGATTATCAGGATTATAAGCGGGATCATCAAAAGCAGGATTATTATCATAATTACCAAGAGCAAGATAAAGATCATCATAACGAGCATCACCACCACGAGCAGCAAGCCAAGAAGGAGACTCAGATATTTGTTCGCTGTCGCGTTCTAAAATAGATTTAAATCAGATAGTTATCGTTTTTTAATTTAAATATTTGTATGATCTGCTGATATTTTGCTAATCTTACTGTATAAATGAAATTGTATGTAATTAATAAGGTAAATGTATAGAAACGAATTGTACGATTAAATATTTTAGGGGGACAGTGTTGCCTAGCCTGTTGTAAATTTGTAGTCTTGTATATGCTATAGTTATTGTAAGAAGAATTAACTAGATACTTGTTTTGTAAATATGGAGGGTCTCTGATAGAACAGAGCTTCTTTTTCGAAAGAAGTTGAATCAATTTTTTTCAAAGGAAATTACAAGAAAAATGTTAACTTATGATGAGAAAGCGGTTTAGAAAATGATATTTATTATATTTGATTGATTTGACTTTATAATACTCTAAATGCGGTTTATGAATATATTTAAAAGATAGAGAAGTTAAGTAGAGTATTTAGCTGTCCTTTTTATGTTTGAAATTTAGAGATAGGTAGGTGTCTTAATTAAAGTATCTAAAATTTTTTGTCATTAGATAAAAATAATGTATTTTAGTGACTAAATATACTTTGTAATTTTCTGAATAACGTGTTTTGATTTTTAAACCCTTAATCGAATGATAAATGAAAGCTTTTTCCACATAAGACTTCTAATAGTAGATTGGTTGTTGTATTTACAAATATTTTAACTTGAGATCGATGATTACATGAAATGAAAACACAAAAAATGTTCATAGAATTGGATTATTGATTACATTTTGTTTGATAAATTGTTTGTTTTGTTAATAAAATGTGAATAAATTGAACTGCCTAATAGAATATACTGAATTGTGAAAATAATTCAGCTTCCTTACATGTTTAAATATGATAAAATATTTTTGAAGACATTTTTTAATCTTAGAAATTAGAGAAAAAATATGAAAATCTTATAAAGAAGAAATAAGCAAATGAACAAGTTTTTGATCCAACTTAAGTCGAAGTCATATTTTTAAAATTCCCAGTCAATTCAAGTCAAGTGATATCTTAAAGCTCTCAAGTGAAAAGCAGGTCAAGTAACTCGTGACTTAATTCAACAAATCAAAAATGGATTCGACTTGCCTATGTCTGATAAGAAGGATTTAAATGATGTTTGAAAAATGAATTGTACTTTACTAAAATCTATTCTAATAAAAAGAACTTTTTACTGTAATGCGAAGCTTCAAAAACTGTTTCGTCTCAAATAGAATTTCGAAAAATACACATATGATAAAGAATGGTAATTTCAAACAATTAAGAAAAATCAGAACTCGTTTCACCACTGAGAATGAAAAAAAAGAATCTGTGTTTTATGAAATACGGAAAATACTTTCTTAATGCATACTTGTCAATGCTTCCTTCACTTGAAGATCGGAAGATGAAGAACAGAAGAATAGCAATATTAAAGATTATTAACTACCAGAGACGTTATAAAAGTTATTCGCGTTTTATAATAAACCTACTTAGTGAAGTCCAAAAACTCTGAATTCAAAGACAAAGATCAACCGCATCTTCAGAACTAGAACTTTTGGTCAGTTTAACTATCGCAAAGGTTACTAAGAGAAAGATCTGTTTCGTAATAAACTCAATCGATTTATCAAATACGATTTTATACTACAGTGTATAAGCAATTTGTTTTGTCCTATACGTTTAACATTGAACATCTTTCTCTGGCCAATTCTTTTACATATAAATAGTTATACTCTGAGAATCTAACAACATCGACAATATCTTCAAGTTTTTAAATAAAGTAGAATGAGTACTCGGAGAATAAGATGAATAGTTAACAATGACAATCTTGTATAAAGAAAAGTAATTAACTTACGATCGTACTGTTGCATAAGATTTAAATAAATTAAATGCTTGTTTTCGGTTTTGCTGGATTCTACACGTTCAATAGTAAAACAAACACCTGGAGAAAGTAATTCTTCTTCTTCATCAGGATATTCAGAGAATGGCTTAAGGTCTACAGTAAATGCATGCTTAACGGTCATTATAAATAAAACATTTCCGAATTTTTCGGCTGCAACTCGACTACGACTGCATGACGTGAACGCTGGAAAAGAACGACTTGTTTCTTTTTTGTTTAAACTATCTTCCTTGAAAATCGAAATCAATTTATCGTTTAAATTTGCTCCTCGATAAAAAATTGTCCCTCTTTGAGTTGTTTTATTGTCAAAAGGATTGTCCCATAACAATAATGAGAATGGTCCCAATGTGCAGACATTATTTCTCCATTCTTGCTCATGCTCTTTGCTTCCAATCAATCGCATGGTTTCATTTAATTTTTTATATAAGAAACTCTCCATTGAATACAGATGCGCGCAACATTTCCAGACTTCTTTCATACCTTCATCTTTTTTCTTCAATAGTTCTTTCGCCATATGTTCAGCTTCACATTGTTTTCCAATTTTCTTTCCTTCTTGAATGATACCTTTCGCTGCTCTTTCTACAATCATCGGAACGACTGTGTCATCTTTCGAAGGTAACTGATCTTCGGTGATATTCAGCTCTTTCACGGTTGCTCGTATAAACGGTGAAATCCAACCATATAAACCAGCAAATGGTTGTTCGGGATTGATAGGAGTAAATGTAAATCGTTCTTCTCGTAGGTACTGATCGGCTGTATTGACTATTTCTCGTTTGATAGGACGTTGTTTATTGCCATCTTCGTTGAGAATTTGAATTCTGTGTTTAAAATTAATACTATAAGAGTCCAGAATAGCATGACTTTGCCCAGATTGAAATGCCTCTTCAATAATTCTATTTTCTACATCAGAGTAGGATTTCCATTCCGCTGGTTCAGTTTTTGAAAAAGGATCCGCATTTGCTTTCCACATCCATTTAACACGTGTACTGGTGCTTGCCGAAGCCATTTTTATTTCAATTCAGCTGGTTAAGTTTAAACGACTAAAAAAATTTTATATCGATTGCAAAACGTAAATAATCTAAAGTTATTAATTTTTTTAATAAAGCATGAATAACTGTCTGATTTTGCACAAAAATTGAAACAAAGAATTTCAAGGTTGCCTTTCGATCAATCTTCTTTCTATTTCATGATTTATTTTCATAATACCATATTATTCAGATATGTCTTCTCTTTCTTTCTCTTTTATTCTTTTCGGTGTATTGTTTTCGAGTGGCAAAATACAATGATAATGTTTATGTTTACTTGATCGTTATGGAATCATTTTCGGACATCTGTTCCACGTTGTGAGGATAAGTTTCTTGGAATATATTCGACACGGGGTGAGAGTGTGAGTGTGAGCGTGGATGTGGGTGTGGGTGTGGGTGTGGGTGTCAGTATGGATGAAAGATGTAACAAATACCCACACCCTCAATTTTCGGTGTCAACGAGTAAAGCTTCATTATTCCTGTAAATAGATCTCAAACATTTGCTAAGCTTATTACTGTAGATCTCATATAGAAAAGTCCTAATTTGCAAACGCATATGTGAAAACAAACGATCGTTCAGTCAAAGAAGCTTAAAGTTTCTTTATTAAGAGTGCACATACAATTGAAATCAAGAAAAAGTTGTAAAGATAAAGAAGTCAGCTATCTTGACGGTGTATGTGAGTGAGGGTGTGCATGTATTTGGGCGGCTATGAGTCTCTTCCTTACCCGCTCCCACTCCCCCTCCCCAGAGAAGCTGTTTAAAAAATGAATAAAGATTCTTAAAAACAATTACGCAAAAAACCACAATTTTTTTCAGCATTTGACCTAAGCCACAAAGTTACTCTTTTGACGTTGAGATTGGCGCAGAAGTCGCCGTTAGACAAACGATTTTTCGTCGAGTGGACGATTCGTCGAATGGCTGTTCGGCGAATATTTTTCGTACTACTACTATAGTAACTTTCCATGAAAAATCATTCAACAATCGATCATTCAACCAACGGCGCCCTACCCAGATTGACCTATTATTTTCCTGCTTTTTTTTAAACTGAATTACAAATTTCTCGAAAGTTATTGTGAGTAAGAAAGCACCTATAAATTTATTAACATACCTTTTTCAACAGTCACAAATTTTGTAGGTGAATGAATGATGCACTTTTGAATTTTCTTTTTTACACACATATTCTACACAATTTTTTCGTTTCATTTCCATGACTCCTAATGACAGATGTTTTTGTTTCTTTTTTAATGACAAACACTCCAAATGGCCTATTCCCTTGACGCACTCTCTCTATTCTCTCCTTGAGTTTTTTTCTTTCTTTCAAATAGAAGAAAACAATCGAATTTATTCATTCTCTTGGAGATTTTTCTGCATTTTTTTTGCACTTATGAACGTGTTCCTATAAATTCAAAGTTAAAGTAGTATATGCTACTACTAAAAAGAACGTTTCTGACAAAATGCCACGTATCTCAGTAACGACGACACTAGAACTTTTTCCTGTTGAATTATTTTTTAAATTATTCAAATTTTTTAGTACAATTGAACCATATCAAGCATTTTTTGGTCTCATTTGGAAAATCAATAGTATCATATCACAAACTGAAAATAAAAATACTTTGAGTCTGGTGTGTGAAAAAGATTTCAAATTCTTCCTGGAATAATCGGCCAAAAGCAGCAACGTCGTTCTGAGTCCATCAAATATTAAATCACTAAAATCATCTTGAGAGTGTGAGTGGGGTGCAGGCATGGGTGATGGATTTAAGATACCCACACCCACCCTTCACAGGGTCGTCAGAAAGAGCTGATATTTTTGATTTAAGACTTTCTAAAGGGTGTGCGTGTCTAGAATCTATCATTCACACCGACCCACCTGCACGCACACCCACGCTCAAGATGGTTTGTTTCATATTAGTCACCTGCGACGGACTGTGGTGTCGCAAATTCAGGTAAAAGTAATGATAGTTTGCAGCAACGTACATTAAAGGTAAGTGATAAGATGTAAATTTCTTATAAATAAGAAATTTGTATGCATAAATAGATTACATTCTTTTTTTATAAAATAATTAAAATATAATAGTTACCTTTCGGTATTTATCAAGAAAATTTTATACTATACGGCAAAGAAAAGGTGGAAACCGATTATGAAAGAAGGAAGATGAAATTATCTTTTTGCATTATATTTATTTAACGTCATAAAATTTATATATGTGACGCAACCCTCATGTAATTAACTTGTATATATAAATCCTAATAAATATATGAAACAACACATTGATTACAAGTAAAAATATGACCGAAGCATCTAACGAACAAGTTACCATGGCTGAAAATACTTTGTCGAACATTCAACAATTTGAATTTCCAACAGTATACCAAGAATATTACCAAATAGAAGTAATTACCAACGACAAACAATCATACTCGAGTGATGCTGAATATTCAACAATACCACTTTATCAACTATTGGATCAAATTGTACTGGATAAATATTCAGATTTTCATGGCGGAGTTAAAGTAGCCAGTATACCTGCTCAAGATTCAGCTCATTCCAAATTGGAACCATGGAGCAACGTATCAGACGTGTATGTACAAAAGAAGGAAGCGTCATTTCTTGGTAGTTTATTAAAACTAATTAAGAGTAAAGAAACAGATGAAGAAGAAGAGGAAGAAGAGGAAAAATCTGATCCTACTCCAAAAGATATTTTAATTTCAAGAATGAAGAATATACTTTTTCCTGAAGTGCTCACTTATCGTTTGGGTTGTGTCAACAATCGAATATATGTTTTTTTTCAGCCAGACGGATCAATTCGTTTCGATATAATGCCACGATCTGATTTGGACAAAGTTATGCATCAGATACAAGAAAAACTTTATAAAGATTCAATCAAAACATTTATTGAACTAATCATAAAAGCAATTGATGAGGATAATGCAGATGGTAAATTTTCCATGCATATGGCAGCACATTTATCTGCTGATGCATTTGACACGGAACGTGATGAATTTTTAGCTATTGTTACACCAAATAATAAGACAATTATTATGATGGGATTTTTTTATAATCGTTTTTATGGTTAATTTTTTTCTCTGTAAATAAACAAGATTTTTAGAAAATAAACTAAATTATCGTACCAGAATTTAGATGAATATCTAATTTATTAATCAGAAAAAAAAGTGAACCATCAAGGCAACTTTAAAAATTATTTTGCTTGCAAGAGGTAATTTTTTGATTTCTCAAATTTGATCGACTAACGTGAGAGTATACGCTGTTCGACTCTATCTTCTTCTTTTTTTTATTCTGACGTCATGCAGGTAGACTTGTGTAATAGAACTCATAATTTCTTTCTCATTCTTTTTTTTATGTACATGATTCATACTTCCGCTATTTGTCACTATTTATGTCGGGTTTTTTCCCACACTTTTTGCATATATATATATATGTGCGCAACATTTAATCTAAATTCATTATAGTTTTCTTTATCTAATCATACAGAATGAACATTTATCAAATAATTTTTCTCATTGGCTTTTTATACACTAAGGGTTATAGTGCGTCGAATTCAAATGATAGAGCTGATCTCCTTCCACGATCAGTTATTGAATTAAAAAAATATTATGAAATGGTAGAAAATTTTGAACAACGTGGAATTTTAACTGAAGAACAAGCAAGACAAGAAAAGCAATTGTATATTGAACGTGCATCAACACTGATTGGTAAAGATCGATTATTGACAACCAAAGAATTTCTTAATTATGAAAAAAATGTATTAGCCATTTCATTGTCTAACATTATCGCTGTATTAGCTGGATTAGTCATTTTTATTGCCGGATCAATTTATATATCATGCTATGTTAAGCCAAATTTAACTAAAATTTCGATTGAGACGTGGGAGAAATTGCTCTATTGTTTTGCTTTTTCGTTAATGTTTTTGAATAATCATTCATGGTTAGTTTTCCTCGGCTGTTTAGCATCCTTCGCTACGTTAAAGCTATCATTTTATCTTGGTCGTTTCGGTCAACAAACAGATCGTAAATTGTCGATGTCGTTTATATTGTCTGTTAGTTGGTCGATCGTTGCTATATATCAACAAAATCGTGAAGTTGGTTATTTAGTTATTGTACCATTGGAAATATTATGTAGTCGTATTATTCAAAAAGGAGAGTTACCAGCATTACTTGGATTTACTAATCATACTTTACTACCTTGTATAACAATATCATCGTTCTTGTTAATGATAATGGGAATTCTTTTATATTTGACACCAATAAAATTTTTGACTAGCCGATTTACTCAACCTTTATTATTCATTGGTTCACTTGTTTATATCATCGGACTGTTTATTTTATCGTCTAAATTCTACGACGGAAGAGTTCAATATCAAAATCTACTGTCTTTATTACAAATATTTACATTTCTTAATGGATTAGGATTGATTTTGTTTGCATCGATATTTGATCTTCTTTTTCTACAAAATATAATAGGAGCAATGTTTGTCTTCTGGTTGTCAACGAAATATATTGAACGTGCCAATTGGAAAACAATATGGTCAACAGTTATAAGTCTACTCGGTTTGGGTATATTCTTATACGGATTTGCTTATTTTTATAAAACTATTTTTTAACTTTCTATTGTCAGTTAATAGTTTCATTCTCAAATAAATTTAAATACGTTTTTTTCTTTATTTGTTTTGAATCAAATTAATGAAAGACATCGTTATTATCATAAGAAAAATAGAAATGTGAAATTGTAAATCAGTTAATTGTGTCGATATCTACCAGCAGACTGCATTTGCTTCAATAAATCAGCGTTCCGACGAGCTAGTTCTTGTTCTTTTAATTCATATTCATGCCAACTGACTACATCTTCTTCATCGAGTATAATTTGACCGTCCAGTGAAGTATAACTTCCGTCATAAACTATTGCAATTAATTCTGAATCAGGCTGATCACTACTAAATACTAACCATGCTAATTCATAGTCAGGTTTGGGAGTTCTTAAATGTAATCCAACTCGATTGTTCGATTCATTACGAGTGTCAATAAATACTTTCTCTTGAGGTTGTTCAAGTTCAGTAGTATTGAATTTCCATTGTTTAATAATATTCATAGCAGAATCCGAGTCAATAATCATAATACGACCATGAAATGAACTGTCCCAAAAAAAGTCATGATCCGGTTTGTTTCTATCAATTCCCAATAATTTATCAATCTTATGTTCGAAATCATAATCATAATGATGCGACCAATCATATCGATTAACGTATACAATACTACGATCACTATGTGTTTGATAAAGAGAAAAACCAACAGTAGCACATCGTCGTAATATTTCAACTGGATTATGATGAATATTATATATAATATAGCCTGATTTAAATGGTTCAGCTTCTAAAGTATCTCGAGTTTGATATGATTTAGCTTGCCAATCACCTTTAGCAGCTCGACATCGATAATTAAAATAACGTTGCTTTATTGTCCCTCCTCCCTCTAGTTCAGGTATAGACTGAGGAGTATCATATCGATTAAGGCGGCCATTGAAATAACCTTCACAGATACAATGTAATTGACCCCATAGTAATTCACCACTGGAACAATGAAATGATAAGTGATTAGAATTAGAAGTTTGATCTGAACAATTATCCATCTAAAAACAATACATTTCGTCAAAAGTCGTTTTGTATAAGAGAAAATTTATTGCCATGTTATTTCAAAACATACATGTAATAACAAGAAAGAATAGAGAATGAAGAAAAATAAACCATGTGGACGATCAGTAAGAGGCAAACAAAGAAAATGAAATGAATCAGTCAGTGTGTGAAGCCGAAAGCTATAGGATAAATATTGATAAGTTTTATACTAAACATATTGCTGATGAATAAAATCTAAATCGTTTTTTTTTTATTTCACTTATAAAACCTTCGATCATTTGGCATTATAGCGAATTAATAGAGACGAAACGAAACGAATTTTATAAGGACACTCATACTCACACCCTGTTTTGTTTGTTTTAAGTTTTATTTAGTTAAAAGTTTTCGGTAATAAATTTCTTAAAAAACTTTGTGTCTGTTGATAAATTCCAGGTATTGTCTGTTCTCGTAGTCCAGCAATATTTACTATTTGAATTTTATTTATCATAAGCCATTCAAGAATTTTTATTTCATTGATATTCTTATGTTCTTCATCAAGACTAATAATACACATAGGTTTCTGATATTTCTCTGCCATGTTGACTGTTAGTTTTGTACCATTGTCCATAGTATTTTCATTACCAATGATCATGATCAATGTGCCATCTGAATCTCGAACATTATATTCTGTTCGTTGTGAATAATCATCTGTTGATGTTTCTTGAAGATTGGCATATTTTATAGGATCAATCACTGCATCTTCTGCTTTTCGATCACGAGGACACCATCCACCATATTGATAATTCAATTCAATAGCAACATCCAAAGCAGCTCGATCAACACCAGTTTGTCCACCACTAATAATTTTTTTCAACATTCAATGCAATAGTGTGAGGTACGAGCCTTTCGTAAAAAATTTATTCAAACATATTAGAATTGCACTTGATACTCTTCAGTGACTTTTAATTCGAGCGAGTGATCAAAATCAAGAAAATTTGATTGGTTCCTATATCGAAATATATTTATTTATTATATTTGATCGATGATATCATTGTTTTTTTCCCGTAAAAGATGGCGCTCTTATTTGATCATTACATAATCACGTCTTTTATGAAGTAGAATGAGATATATTATTATAATGATCCGTACATTCGTCAGCTTTTCTTAACCTGATTAGAAAGAGTGGACACCCACACCCACACCCTCAAGATAACCAATCTTCTATCAATTAATTAAAAAACATTTTTCGACGAAAAGAGAACAATCATTTTTTGATTTTCGACGAAACCTGATGTAACGGTCGATACTTTTCATGAGTAATATTGAAAAGAATCAAGGAGTAACTGATAACAAAATTCGTAAATATTGACAGTAAATCTATTTCGTTAAAGTTAGGCGAGAGAAACAAAGAAAAATAGAGAGACAGAAATAGAAGAACGAGAAAACATATCATTTCATTCGTGTGTGATTCGAAGGAAGAGACAGGAGAACGAAAAATACTCAAGCGGTATCACTGAAGAGTCGACGATAAAAGTGGTTTCGCGTGTTAGAGCTATCATTTTTGTTTTTTTTGTCTTTAGCTACAAATTATTTCAACTGAGACTCATTCTACGTACACAAAGCAACTATATAAGGTAATACATTTTGATTCTTTAAAAGAATCATTTTTTTTCTCTTTTGCGCTATTTATTTATTTCAAAATAACAAATTTGCCATGAGGTGCTGACCGTCTTATCATCAGTTACTTCTAGGACTTTAAAATTTTGTACTCTTCTCTTCAAGAAAAGTTACTTATGTTCTTTGATTTATTTTCAGGCAATAAATAATTCTCTGAAAGTCTCAACACACACATTTTTAACTACTTTTTTTGTTTAATTTTAGCTTTATATCATCTGTTGAGAAAATGTGCACCAAAAATGATAGTGGCGTTATGAATCAAGTGCAATCTATCGATTATACAGCGATTTCTTTGAATGGAGTTGATAATGTTGGAAAAAGCATATTGATGCGTTATATGCCTACTAAAAGTGTTGATTTACGATCAGATATTCATAACTACGATGATCTGATGAATGATTTAATGACGAAAAATACTTTAAAAGATTGGTGGTTTACAAACAGTAGTCATGAAGAATTTATTACTGTTATAATGCGTGCAGCTAGCAAACGTGCCAATGTTGCAGCGAAAGATAATACAAAATTTATTATATACGATCGTGGTGGTCTCATGTTGGAAGCAGTGTGTATTGCTACTATTGCCTGTAAAGAAAAATGTAATTTAACAGCAGCTGAAAAAATCTATAATTCAATTATAGAAAAATGTAAAATAACCATTCCTCATGAAAACATTCGTATATTATTAAAACACGGGCATAGTCTCGAAGATTCAATACAAATATCTTTGATGCGTGAACATGAAGATGATCAAGTTTATGAAGAATATCAAAAGCTATTACAAAAGCAATTACAAATTCAAGAATTAAATAATAAATATACCGATATAATTAATGTTACAGATAAATCTGTTATTCAAGTTCAAAATGAAATTCGTGCCATTATTAAACAGCATTGTCTTTCTACTTTTACCGAAACGATTGCATCTTTTAATTCGATGTTTGAACATGTTAATGTTATTATTGCATTTGATGGTATGTCTGAATCAGAAAAAAGTACATTGGCTGAAGGCACATGTCGGAGGTTAGAATCGATTGGAATGAAATGTACACGTCTTAAAATTGCATATCTTATGGAATTAGCCTCAGGTGCTCTTGGTTATGATGTCTATCAATTACCCGACGAAAAGCAAGCGGATGAATTAGTGAAACAACTTGATCATTATCTTCGTCGACATTATTGGCTTGCAGCAGTTACAATTGAGAGCTTACATCGTTCGGTAGCAACTCCATATCTTAAACTAATTCTAGGCGATCTTCTTCAAGTTGTTTACATTGATACACGTCTTGAACATTCATGTGTCGATACTGAAGCTCTTCATAGCGTAGACAAAATAAAATTTGAAACGACAACTTTGGTTCTCAACAATGACGCTTTTACGTTTGACGAGTCTATACATCGTATCTATGAAATGCTGAAACAGAAAAATGAAAAAATAAAGTTACAAGAATTGATGACTAACCGTTACTCTGGAAAAATCAACTTGTATTCCAATCAATTTGTACTTTGTGCTGGATCGATTCTCATTAAAAAATCTACACGTGAGGTGTGTCTTATTCATCATTTAGGACAATGGGGCTTACCAAAAGGTCGAAAAAATGTTAATGAGGCACTTTCAATATCAGCAGTACGTGAAACATTTGAAGAAACAGGTTATCATTGTTCATTAATGCCATTAACGATGGAAACAAGAGCTACACCACTGACTACTACAAATGAACATTTACAGGATGTTGCACGCAAAATCAGTAATATCTCGGAACCGTTTAGCATTTCACTTCGTCAAATTGGAGGAACGCCTGCCAACCGAAAAATTATTTTTTGGTATGTAACACAAATGGATGAAGCATTTCCAAGACAAGAAAATACACAAATGATAAATGAAAACTTTGAAGTGAAACTTATATCTCTAGAAGAAGCGACTAGTTTATTGACGCATGACGATGATAAAGATCTTGTAAGAAAAGCTTTTGAATTATTTATTCATTAAATAAACATAATTTTTGTGTCCATCATGTTATTTGTTTTTTTAAAATGCATATACACAAATCGTTTCGTAATTTATACAGAATTTTTTGAAGTTTTGAAAATTAACAGGGTTTGCAAGGTTTGTGTACTATGTGCTAAGCTTCAGCAGTTTCGTAACTTTTGTACAGAACTACTCGCAATTCTGTAGATCATTTAAAGATTTTGTATAGGGATGTGGTGTCGTTGAAAAATATGAAAATGACAGATCTATTTCATCTGATGATTCTCATAGACGTTGTAATATCTCGATGTATATAAAAATATTTCATGCAAGTTTTCGACGTTTTGTTTTTTATATTATTTTCATTTTGTATTCATTGAAAATAACAGGAAGAGTATTTATATAATCGATAAATTAAAATGTTTCAGATATCATGAAACATTCAAGGGTATAGGTATGAGTGTGAGTGTCTCTTCTCTACTCACAGCTACACAAATCCACACCCACACTCACATTCGCATCTATCCTCAAGTAAGGACAAATGCAGATCGTGTAATTTTTTTTCTTTCACTGTATATTTGCGAAAAAAACCGAAATATCTGTCGCATCTCGAGAAGATAATTAGGTGATGTACTAGCACCTAATATACATATCTAGTGGCTACTTAGTCTTGAAATCAGACCGGTACCTATCTCATTCATACTTTCTTGTGCGTAACTTTCCTGACTTGAAATTTCTGTGCTGAACATTCCCCTGCTACATTTTTCTAGTCTCCGCGTTAGGTGAGATAATTCTATATTCATGTAGCAACAAATAATTAGATCGATGGTTTGGTTAAATTTATTAAGAAGAAAAAAATGAGGGAGAAGTATCAATGAGGAATAAGGTTTAAGGAGGAATAAAGTTTATGGACGAATATCATGCATTAAGCAGCATGAACATAGCAACCAGAACTGTTGACGTCGTATGAAGTTAGAACAAATTGACGAACAGCATTGGCAATCAATGCAGCCATAGGTTCGGTAAAGTGCTGAAGATCGACGAAGACATATTTGTCAGGATTTGTGCAGATCTGTATTATTGTGGTTGCATTCACAGAATTCCAACAATTGTTCTTTGCATTTGTAAAGTAGCCCGACTTGCTGGCAACAACTTTCGAGACAAGTGAATTGATATCGAAGATGCTAAAGTTTGCTTGTGGATAATTTTGTCGCATCGTTGCAAGATCAGCTGTCAGAGCACTATTGGACAAACCTGTAAGGGCGGCTAAATACTGCGCCGGTGCGAGCATTGAGGTTGCTGGAACCGATTGAACTGGTACTGCATTGAAGACAAGAAAATGTTTGCCACCGACGACTGCCAAATCATTGACACTATTCAAAAGACTGGCTATGATTGCAGCAGGAGACGTACTCGGTTTGTTAGCAAAATCGTTGCCACCAGCCCAAAAGATGTAGAGAGTGCGGTCAAAATTGATCTTATTCCAACGATCTTCATTCAAATAGAATTCAACCTGATCTGCAACTGAGGGTACAGGAATAGCACCGAACGCTCCAGCGCCCTGAACGAAATTGTTGTCAGTTGTTGCGCCTCCATAGGCATAACTTTTTACGTTGAATCCTTTCAATTGTTCCAACCAGGATCCTTGCAATTGATCCACCCAATTCGGACCGTTGCAATAGCGACCGTTGTAATATGGTGGTATAGGCCAAAGACCATTAGACAGCTTGTGAAGATTACCCGTGTCCGAGTAAGAATCACCAAAGATCTTCACATCGTGAAATCGGTATTCTGAATCGAATGGAAGCTGGCAGAGAATCACAGGTAAAAAAACGACAAAAACAAGTCGAGCAGCAGAGAACAACATTCTTGTTTTATGAAATCAAGATTGATACGAGAGCTTTATATACTTCTTTTGATCGTCAATAAAAGAATGATTAAGTATTCGAAGTAAAGAGAGTGAGGTGCTTATCGCAGTATCATAAACATAAATACCTTAATATTTGAAACAGGTACTGATGTGTATCAAATGATTATCGAATTAATGATACAAGAACGATTTAATGTCAAGAGTACTTGTGTATATGATCACTAATACTTTGAATCTTTATTGTTTTGATCTTTGAAACGATTCTTAAGCATGTGATATGCAAATATAAAAAAGTACAGGTCAACTATAAAAAAATAAAAGATAATAAATTGAAGAACGCACAATGATATGAAATAGATCATAA